TTAACAGTAGCAAAATTGCTGTTACGAAGTAGCAGTAAAAATAATTTTATGGCCGGGCGGTGGTGGCGCACGCCTTTAATCCCAGCACTTGGGAGGCAGAGGCAGGAGGATTTCTGAGTTCGAGGCCAGCCTGGTCTACAGAGTGAGTTCCAGGACAGCCCGGGCTACACAGAGAAACCCTGTCTCGAAAAACCAAAAAAAAAAAAAAATAATAATAATAATTTTATGGTTGCGGGTCACCACAATATGAAGAACTGTATTTATTACAGGGTCGAAGCATTGGGAAGATTGAGAACTACTGGTGTAAAAAGTACACTTAGCCTTAGTTTAATCCTCTCATTCCAATATACACACAGTCATTAAAGGATTTGAAATATTTTAAACAATTATGTTGTTCTTTCTATATTTTAAGAAAATATGTGTTTTACATAAAAAGTTTATTTTTTTTTATTTTATGAGCATGGGTATTTTGTATGTATGTGTGTGAGCAACTTTCATGCCATGTGCCCATAGAGACCAGAAGATGGCACTAGATCCCCTAAAACTAGAGTTACAGACAGTTGTGAGCTGCCATGTGGTATTGGGAATCAAATCTGAGTCTTCTGGAAGAGCAGCAAGTGTTCTTAACTGTTGTGCTGTCTCTCCAGCCCCATACAAAAATGGACTCTCTAGCTTAAATTAACAAACATCTTCCTGCCTTTATCTGTGGAGGGGGCTAGGGTTGTTGCTGGGGTCTTAGGTGAAGGGCAGTTATCTTGGGGTGCTGCTGAGTTTGTCATAGAAAGAAGATCCGTGCAGATCAGTAAGGAGGGCCACTGGAGCAGGAGATGGGCAGTGGTTTTTACCAGTCTGTGAAGACAGCAGCTGAAGATCATGGGGTCACAGGTTAAGTGAACATGATCATGCTCACAGCCTGAAATAGGAATGACAGACACAGAACCTCAGAAGAGTGAAAGTGACAGAGAGTGAGAAGGCTGCAGGGGAAAGAAACCCTCAATTGGAAAAGCACCAGCATCAGAGAGGGAGCAAAAAAGAAAAAAATGATAGACTTTATTAGAATAGGTTAAAATAGATAAAGCTTCCATCAAGGGAGTGAGAGGTGAAAGTCTGCCTCTGGGTTGGACTTTTTATATGTTCCTAACCTCCATTCTCTCTAATCTTGCCCTTACCAGCTATTTCTATGGGGTTTCAATATGTAGCTCCCTTGGGAAAGAGTGGTGCAATCCTGGAGCAAGGGTCAGCCCATCTTAAAGTAACCAGTCTCCTTTGCAGATGGGCCCAGGTTTCCTGATCCATTTTCAGGATCACAAGAGTATGCTACTATATCTGGCTTATGTGTATTGTGAGAGCTGTCTAGTGGTAAGATAGGACACAAAGGTTTCTTCATCCCAGATGGGGAACTGATTAGACCAAAGTAGCAGTTCTTCCAAGGTCTTACTTGGTGAACCAGTTAGTTTACTGTATGTACTCACAGGAGCAGGAAGGATTCAAGGCAGCTGTATCACTGAACAGCCCACCCCAGCTCACAAACCCTGAACTCTAGAGCTTCTCTGTATGACTTACAGTCAGCTTGGCAGCTTATAAACTCTTTGTTAGTAGCTCAACTAATTGTTCTAGTTAGTTTCCCTGGTAGGATTTTTTCCCCTCTATAGTCAAATGCTTCTGTAACCTTGGGGAAGCACCTTATGAATCTTGTAAGTTTCATCTTTCCCAGATGTAAGTTTACTTCTTGAGTCTTATGAGCTTCCTTTTTGAATTTCCTGAATCCTTAAGGAACCTCTTTCCAGGAGGGACTGTGTGAACCTGGAGGAAGTTGCTATATATATAATGTGACGCTGGGGACTGAACTCTTGGTGCTTCCCGAGAGCTAGGGAGGCACTCACAGTACGAGTGAGCTAGACCCTCAGCCCTGAAGCTGTTTTAAGTTTCAATTTGGAGTTTAATAAATATTGACAGGTTCACCTTCTGAAAGCTCCTTAGGGCCTTTTGTAACTTCGAGGAGTATTGAGAAACTGCCAGATCACAGAGTTCTGAGAATGAACTGTGTAGCTCTATTCCTAGCATTGACATACTTCAGGCTTTCCCAGAGGAAGAGCTGCCCATTTGGGACATTTGTCTGTGCCAGCCAGCCTCAGGTTTTTTTGTCCTGAGATCTTGCTTTTTATCTTCTGGACAATCAGGGAGATGACATAACTCTTACTATATATCATTATAGGCTCATGGTCTCTTCATTTTCAGTCATTAATGAATTTGTGTTTCTCCGTGTACACACTTATGTCCATATGAGTACTCATCTGTCAATTTTAAGAATTTATTTAAAGGTTAGCATTTTGGAGTGTTTTATAACAGTGTGTCAGTATGTGTTTTAAGTTTAATAGTGTCCTCCATAAATCCTTTTCTACCCAAACTGCGGATTGTGATGTATATTTAAATAGACTCTTTCTTTTTCTCTCTTTTTTAAACTTTTTTTTAAAGATTTATGTATTTATTTTATGTATGTGGGTACACTGTCGCTGTCTTCAGACACACCAGAAGAGGGCATCGGATCCTATTACAGATGGTTGTGAGCTACCATGTGGTTGCTGGGAATTGAACTCAGGACCTCTGGAAGAACAGCTAGTGCCATCTGAGCCATCTCTCCAGCCCAAATAGGCTCTTTCTTAGTTACTTTTCTATTGCTGAGACAAAACACTATGGTTAAGACAACTTTAAAAAGTAAGTATTTTATTGGTTCAAGTTTAGAGAGTTAGGGTCCATGATGATGGTGCAAAGACATAGTGGCAGGAACAGCTGAGAGCTTACATCTAAGGAGGGAGAGAGAGAGAGAGGGAGGGAGGAGAGGGAGGAGAAGCGAAGTGGAGGGGAGGAGAGAGGAGAGAAGAAAGAGAAAACACACACTAGGAATGGTCCATGTCTTTTGAAACCCCAAAGCTGTCCTCAGTGTTACACATCCTCCAAGAAGCCCAGATCTCTTGATCTTTCCTGAACAGTTCCACCAACTGTGGCCCAACTATTTTAAACACATGAGCCCATAGAGGCCGTTTTCATTAGAAGGCCCACAGGCATTTTGCAGATGTATCCAAGGCCAAGATTTGCCAGGAATGTAGGGACAGGCAGAGAGAGGGTCACATCCTCGGTGGATGCTTAGCCCTACAGACATCTTTACTCTTTAGACCTTGTTTAGCCCTCAGATTTGTGTGGGAAGTGGTTTCTGTTTAAGGCATCCCAGGTTTTGATACTTTATTTAACTTTTATTTGTTTTTTTGTTGAGAGTGAGTTCTCTATATAGCCCTACCATCTTGGAACCCACTCAGTAGACCAGACTAGCCTCAAACTCACAAAGGTTCACCTGCCTCTGTCTCCTGAGTACTGGGATCAAAGGAATGTGCTTCCATTGCCATCACTCCCATGGTACCTTTTTTTTGCAGTTGTAAGAAATTAAAGAGCAAGATGTTCAGGACTTCTAGCTTATTGGGTGGTATTTTTAGGTCATTATTTTCTATATCAGTTATTGTCAGGCAGATTGTTAGGAAGTAAGGTTCTTGGTTCCTTCCATAAGGAAGGCTCACTAGTCTTCATCAGAAAGTGGAAGCTCTTTGGCTCTTCTCTCCCATTTGTCCTTTTGTTTGTTTGTTTGTTTTGTTTTGTTTTGTTTTGTTTTGTTTTGTTTTGTTTTGTTTTTCGAGACAGGGTTTCTCTGTGTAGCCCTGGCTGTCCTGGAACTCACTCTGTAGACCAGGCTGGCCTCGAACTCAGAAATCCGCCTGCCTCTGCCTCCCAAGTGCTGGGATTAAAGGCGTGCACCACCACTGCCCGGCCCATTTGTCCTTTTTATAGGTAATAAAATTCAGACTTTGAGACCTGACACTGGTGTGGTCCTGCTTTTAGCCTACTTTTCTGTTACCTCCTACCTGTTATTAGCCTTAAGCATTCTGTGTGTAGCTTAATGAGAAGTTACGGTCTGTTCTAATCATCGTTATTTGTGGCACCTCCACTCTGAAAGGTTCTCCCATTGTCTTCCTCATCCTTGCTCATCCTTCACAAAATGTCCAAGCCTTACCAGCACCTAGTCACAGGTCTTGAAGCTGAGCTATTCTTTTTCTTAAACTTATACTTGGGGTGTGTGTGTGTGTGTGTGTGTGTGTGTGTGTGTAAAGGGACAGCTTGTGAGAGCCAGTCCTCTCCTATTGTGTGTTCTGGGGATTGAGCTCAGGTTGTCATGCTTGGTCATTACCCACTGGGCTCTTTCCAGTCCCATTCTGTTCTTTTAGAAACACTCTACTTCAGGTTCCATGCTCCCTGTAAAGTACTCCTGTTCTCCATGATGTTGCTGTCTTCTCCATTAGGTTCTAAATTCTGCAAAAGAATGAAATTAACAAATGTCTTGTGTTCCAGTGACCAGAGTAATAATTATTTTTTTCAGAATATAAATATTGACTATTCTATTATTTTTTCCTTTTTACAGGTATTTTATTGACTTTCATTTGCAAGCAGGAGAAAATTCAGTACCTTATTTGGCAGTTGGTTTAATTTGTCATTTTCATTTATCTCATGTCCTTCTTTTGCTTTATTTTCAGCCATCTTAAATGAATTTACTAAAACATGCTGGGTTGGGTATTTATGTTTCAAAAATATTCTTTTTCCTTTCCTGAAATATGTATTTCACCTTCTGTTTCATATCTAGTAAGGGTTTATTTGTCACTTATAATCAAGTTCAACTGTTGGCTCTTTCAACAGTCTTTCTGACTGATAAGCTCTTTGGGGGAAGGTTACTGACTCCTGTGCACTGCCTCTGTGCTTTTTATTTGATATCCTTTGAATATGGTAAATTTGGAATGCTTAATTTCTAATCATTTTACTGCTTATTGTAATTATTAAAATAAAGTAATTTAATTTTCCCGAATCCCAGTTTTATTATCTTTAAAATATGGCAACTCTATTCCAAGGAATTCTAGTCCTGTCCTTTCTGTCCTGTTCATCATTTGTAAATCTGTTCTCAGGTGGATGCTCTTCGATTGCGATTGGAAGAAAAGGAGACTATGCTGAATAAAAAAACCAAACAAATTCAAGATATGGCTGAGGAGAAGGGCACACAAGCTGGAGAGATACACGACCTCAAGGATATGCTGGACGTGAAGGAGCGGAAGGTCAATGTTCTCCAGAAGAAGGTAAGGCACAGGTGTTCTGAGCAGAGTGGTCCACTTGTGACATAACCTTATTCTGAGCACTCTGCCATTCTCCTGTTTAGGTTTTGCGGAGTACTTGGAACTGTTGTTGCAGGAGGTAGATTGCTAAAACTGTTCTGCATGTTCAGCCTTTAATGAGCTCAGCAGTATTGCTATCTTTCAGTAGGATTTCTCAAGTCTCTTAGAAATTGACAGACTATTTGGCCAGCTAACCTACCTCTAGTATCTTTAATTGGAACGGAAAAGCATTAATATTGCACACGTACCACCTATTTCATTACTTAGGTGACAATTTTGAAGAGTAAAGCCTGCTGCTGTAATAGGCACGTACTGTGCAGGTGCAGGCCTGCATGCTGAGCTGCTGACTCTACCGCTCAGCTGCAGTGCTCGTGGTGAGGGAATAACACTCAGCAGGAGAAGAGTGACGGGCTCACCTCTTTGACCATAATAGTTATTGGGAATAGGTTTCTTTTGGAATATAAATAAACTACTGATATTTTCCAGTTTTTGACTTACATATATATCCAAATATATATACTTTTGCCTGTATAAAGGCTATGCAGATGTCAGGGAGATAGCAAAATAATGTAAATAGGATTAGAATATACATTTGCTTTTCCATGTGCGGGTTGTCTCCACAGAGACGTGAGCAGTGTGGATATGAAGATAGAAAATTCACTAGAGTTTTAAAGCAATTAGATTAGCATGCACTAACAAAATTATCAATATTTAGAGTGTTTCAAGTATTACAATTACAAAAAGTAACTGAGAACAAATGAATGTAAAGTGAAAACATAAAAAGGCTGAATCATCTTCAAGTTCTGCAAAAAGGTTCTTTGTACTGTATGTACTATAGAGAAGGTAACATGTCTATAGCTGTTACCCGAAGGTTCATTTCAACCTAAGGTTCATTTCTGTTGAAATGATAGATTTGCAATGGTTGACATTTTCTTAGTTTATTGTTAACTTGCTAAGAGTAGCCAAGAAAGAAGTAGCCATGAGCAGGTATGGTAGACATTTGAGGTCTCTGGGAAAGTATACTGGGATTGGTGTTCTGACATAGGGATTGATGGCTGTGGTAACAGACAGACTGTTAGCCCTGGACTGAGCTGTCCTGGCTCTCCTGGGCTGCATTGCACACTCCTGGTCTTCCAGTTCTTGTGGAATATTCATATCTGTATATATTAGTATAACCCTGTGCTCAGAGAATACAGCAGGCAATAACAGATGGCCAGGGTTCACAGTGTGATTGGTATTGGGCTCCTGCTTTCTAGCGTTTTCCTTAAGGGAGTTTTATGATAGAGTATCTTTAAAACAAATCAGTGAACTTGAAAAAAGGTGACTATTTAGATCTGAACTACCTTGTTAAATTTGTACAGCTTGCTTGGTGCATGCCATTGTCTTCTGGAGTTTGTTTGCACATAAGTACCAGGGATCCCTTCTGCTTACTTTCATTGCTTGCTTATTTTGCTTTGTGTAGATGGACTAAAATTTCTATTTTAAACAAATAAAGTATCTTATCAACATTTCCTATACTTTCTAATCAAATAAGTCTCAAAATTTGTGATTCTTTGAATTCATTTGCTGTCTCTCATCTTTTCTTTGGTATTACAGAAAACTCCTCAATTGACAGATAAATTTATTAATGTCTCAAGAATAAGCCTGTGATGGGAATAGGTTAAATAAAGGGCTGTTTAGATGCCTTGTAGAAATCCCTTGAGGTTTCTAGGAAATTAGTAATTTGTGTGTAATTTGGCACTACTTTGGAGCTTGGAGGACAGTTCCAGGGATTGAGTTCATTCTTGCCACCTTGTGGCATTTGTAGGTCAAATTTAGGTTGCCAGCCAGGCCTTTGCACAAGCACCTCCCTTGGTGAGCATCTCTCACTTCCCACTCTATGTTATGGAGTGCGTATGATGGCAGACTCTTACCTAAGATGTCTTGAATAACATAGCACTTCTTTTTCTTTTATTATTATCAATAAAACTATGAATATCTATCCTAGGTATTTGAAAATGTGACAAAAGTAAAGAACAAAGGTATAAAAATAAGTTTTAAGATTTGACTTTCTTTTAAGATTTAATTTTATTTTTAATCATGTGTATTGTCTGTGTTGAAATCTGAATGTGTAAATGCAGGTGCTAGTGGAGTCTAGAAGACAGCGTAGGGTCCCCTGGAGCTCGAGTGTTGTGGTTGTGAGCTGCCTACCACGGATGTTGGTAGCTGATCTCAGGTCCTTTGCAAGGGCAGAATGGGCTCTCAACCTCAGAGCCACTTCCAGCTCCTAAGCTTTGCTTTTAAATTGGGAAAATATTGGTCATGTCTCTAGTAAATGTTCTTTTTAATACAGTAGTAAATAAAAAGCACATTTCTGCATCTTAGCTTTTGAGAACATGAGCTGTGATGGTCGCCTTTCCCCTGGTGGGCTATGTTTGCTTTAGCCAGTCTCCTTTGGCTTTGGCTTTTTCACTGACTTTGCTAGTGTTATAAATAATAAAATGAAGTTTTCCTTTTGGAGATTAAGCCTAGGTTGTTGATTTAATTATTTAAAAAATCTGTATTTTTTTTCTGTGTAGCTATTAAGAAAACTGAAAGCCTTGCTTCATACACATGATAGGCACTGAGCAGTCTCACTGTTGCTGCTGCCTTAAAGGCTTCATCTTGTAGCAATTTTAGTGTGATAAACTGTTAAAGTTTTAAAAAGATATTTCTATTATTTTATATGTATAAATATTTTGACTGCCTCTATGTCTGCACATAACATGCATACATGGTATCTAACTATGGAGGCCAGAAGAGGGCATTGGATTCCCTGGAACTGGAGTTATAGACAGCTCCTAGTTGCCATGTGAGTGTTGGGAATTGAATCTGGAAAGTATTTGCAAAAAAATGGAGATCAAGGCGTTTCTGATTGATTGGCTTCATTTTAATAAATTTAATTCTGCTTGAAATATCTTGTGAAGGTATTGTCAAAGCAGTTGCTCAAGTGGTCCCAGTGATTGCAGGAAGTGCTTTGGGATTTCTTTGGTAGAGGAAGTCTTTCCTTGTTAGGGATTAGGGCTTCCAAGGGGGAGTGCTCAGTTTCACTTGACTAGACTTATGTATGTGGATTTTATCCACTCACAAGTCACTCAGTGAAACATGATAGCTCCCGACAACTGTGTAATGCTGATAAAAGCCAAAATAAAGGATCTAAGTAAGTCCAAGGCAGTGTATGATTGCTGTTCGGTGAGTTCCTCATAGAGCATTGCGTTTAGTTTTAGTTTTCCTCTGGTATAATAATAAGTTTTACGATTTGACTTTCTTTTAAGATTTAATTTTATTTTTAATCGTGTGTATTGTCTGTGTGTTGAAATCCTCTGGTTTTCCTTTAGTTTTCCTCAGTTTTTTTTTTTTTCGTTATAAAAATAAAAACCAGGTAGAGAGAAGACATTCTTTTTTTTTTTTTTTTTTAAATATTTATTTATTTATTTTATTGATGAATACACTGTAGCTGTCTTCAGACACACCAGAAGAGGGCATCCAATCTCATTACGGATGGTTGTGAGCCACCATGTGGTTGCTGGGATTTGAACTCGGGACCTCTGGAAGAACAGTCAGTGCTCTTAACCGCTGAGCCATCTCTCCAGCCCGAGAGAAGACATTCTTGAATAATATAATATTTTATTTCTAACTCAATAAATGTGATGATTAAAAAGGTTGTTTTAAGGAATATATTTTCTTAGAGTAACTAATTTAAAAATATTTTTATTTTAATTCACCTGTGTTAGACTTTCTCTTTAGAATAAACACCTGTTCAATAGAGTATCACAAAATTTTTCTCAAGCCAAAATTGGATGCATGCTTCAATAGGTACTTACTGAGTTTTGTCTGTAACAGGTAGAGTATACATAAGAAGCCCATGGGGACCAAGGAGGCTTGCCACTGAACCTGACAACCAGAGTTGGATCTCTGGAACCCATATGGTAGAAGGAAAAAATTCAATCTAGCAAGCTGTCTTCTGTTCTCCATAGTTAGACCATGGCATGAGTGTACCCAGGCACCCACATAATAATTAAATTAAATGTAAAAAAATCAACACAGGATTATAAAGTGGTCTACCTTCTATAGCAGTTTGTCTGGATCGGTCTGTAGTGTGGATATGTTAGACAGATGGATGATTCATGTTCCAGACTGGGCTGCATGAGAATTATTCATACTACTTAGAACAGTATGCAACTGAAAGTTTCTAACCAACTCTTCCTAGAGTGTGTATTTGGAAACAGTTTCTTCAATATAACACAGGCTGGCTTTGAACTCATGATCCTTCTGCCTCAGCTTCCTGAAATCCCAACTATACTGCCACCATACCTGGCTAAATAATTGCTTTTCCTCTAGAATATTTTATCTAATATTTTTCCTAATACTTCATTTAACCCCAGGTAACTAGAAATAAAGAGTAGAAAGCAAAACCATGCAAAAGTGGTAGGCTATCATCTTTGTCACTTCTTTAGTCTGCATATTTATCAATAAAAAGTACCATCTTTGTATCTCTAAAGCCACAGAAGAGATTATTCTAATGATACCACACCATAAAAACTCCCAGTGTACTGATAATGTCTGCCCACCTTTATACCTGCTCCCTAGCTCCCCTTGACCCCTTCCTGGTTCATGATAGCACATTTTCTGGCTTCAGGTCCTTAGCACACACACACAGGACTTGTAACACACTTGACTTCCACATCCATCCATTTTCCTGGAAGTCACAGGACCTTGCTCTTCATGGGTGAGTAATAACTGTTGTTTACATACCACATTTCACCTGTTGTCTAGCACTTAGGCTGATTCCACACTTGGCTATTGTGAATTTTACAGCAAACTTGCAAGTATCTCTTTTGTATGCTGATTTCATCTTATGATTACATACTCAGAGATGGGAAAATGATATGGTAGTTCTATCTTTAATGTTTGGAGGAGCTTCCATATTGTATTGTACACTCGGATTATTAGCCTATGCTCCTAACAGTGTATAAGGGCTTCACTTCCTACTAATTTTTTAAAAAATAAGAACCATTCTAACTGTAGTAAGTATTTATTTCCTTGATAACTAAATGATTTTTTTAAACAATATTGACTATTTATATTTCTCTTCTTTCATGTCTCTTCAGATTTTCTCATCCTTGAGATGTTTTCTTTAACTCTTGAGTTTTTTAAGTAGCTAAAGTCTTATCTAGGAAATCTGCCTGTGTCAGAAGTGTGTCTGAAGTGTTCCCTTGGCCTTCCTCTAGCTTCAAATTGAATTTTACATCTTAAAGTGTCTTGTCCTTGTAGCTGGTGTTTGGCTATCCTGTGAGTTCTTTTTTCCTTCTACTCTTCCCCACATTTTCCCCACCATTGCAACCCCAACAGGAGATAGGAGAAAAAAAGGAAAGAAAGTGACGTTATCGTTAGACAACTTCTTGCTTTTAGGGATCTCGAGTTCCTTGGGGGAAGTTTGTTCTTCTGCTGACAGGATATCTAATGTCCTGTTGTTGTTTCTTCTTTGTGCATGACTATTTAACAAACAATGACCAACAGCAACAAACCAACAACCCAACAGCTGACCTCTAGGGGCCCTAGCATTATAGACCCTCTGAAAAATCCCCAGATTTCTAAACTTGCAGCTGGCAAGATCATGCTCCTGCTAGAGCACCAGGCAAATCATGGTCAGCTGCTGTGGACAGTCTGAAGCAGCCCCATATCCTCTAACTAGGATTAAAATGAAAACATACTCTTACATTTCTGTTTGTTTGTGGTTTTTTTGTTTGTTTTTTTTAAGAAACCAAAATTTTCAACATTTTTTTTGTTTGTTTTGTAGACTAAGATAAGGGTCTAGTGTTAGTCTCCTATATGTGGATATCCAGTTTTTTAACACCTTTCATTGAAATTGAGACTCAGTTAAAAAAATACCTTGATTAGTCCTACTTGTGTTTATCTGGTTCATGTCTGCCTCCCCTCTAAAATGCCAGCACCATGTTTCTTTTGTTACAGTGGCCTCAGTATCTTGGCTACTTAAAGATTATTTTTGTGTGCTCTTATATGAAGTTTAGTACTTTTTTCTAGTTCTACAAATTTATTTATGCTATGTTACTATTATTATACTGCGCCTAAATCCTTAGCGGTTAAGAGCACTGACTGCTCTTCCAGAGGTTCTGAGTTCAATTCCCAGCAACCACATGGTGGCTCATAACCATCTGTAATGGGATCTGATGCTCTCTTCTGGTGTGTCTGAAGACATCAAAAGTGTACTCATAAATTAAATGAATAAATAAATCTTAAAAAATATTGGGCCTAAATTTTTTTTGTCAGTAGGTTGTTTTGTTTATTTGTTTTAAATATAATTTGTTGCTCTTTCAATACTTGGTGCATATAAAATTATTATATCTCATTCCAGTTTTCTTATAGCTTTGAACATATTTTACTCATTTTTTTTTATGTCTTATAAATGTGATGATTTACTGTGTTGATAATATTTCTTTATTATTTCTCATTGACCTATCTATTTTTCTAGTAGGAGTTCATGCTCAGTTTTGTTTTGCTTTTTCCAGCCTCGACTGTCCTGGAACTAGCTCTGGAGACCAGGCTGACCTCGGACTCAGAGATCCATGCCATCACTGCCTGGGTTCTCAGTGATGGTGTTTACTCACTTCTCTTGTGAGTGTAGGGTTCCCTTAAGCCTCATCCAAGTGCAGTAATCTTGGTTGGTAGTTATTTTCTTTGAGGACTGAAATATATCATCCCGTGTCCTCCTAGCATGTAGAGTACTTTCTATGAAGACTTTCATTGATTTAATATATTTGCTTAAATCTTACTTGGTGTATCTGTCTTTTAGAGTAATAGTTCTTCTTAGTGTTATACCTTCAATAATTCAACTGTAATAATTTATAGTCAATAATTTGTAATAATTTAACTAATAAAAGAGAAATAAGAAATCATGTAGAGACCAAATTCTAGCTCATTGATATACTTGAGGGAGAAGAGCTGGAGGCATAGAAATCTTCTTCAATAAAAATAATGGCAAAAATTCCCCAAAATCTTGGGGAAAATGGGACAAGTAAGTCCAGGAAGCATTTAGACCTCAAGCACACATGATCATAAATATACTTTGTTACATTTTATAATATCTGCTTTATTTTCATCTGTGTTAGTCATCTATCCATCTAGCCATCCAGCTTGGCCAAAGAAATCTTGCTTCTCTTTCTCTTTCTCCCAAAGTGCTGAGATTGTAGGTGTGCCCTACCATTCTTGGTTTGTCTTATAATCTTTAGTTCATATAATCTCTTACCTAAGCAAATAGAATCCCAGAATTATTTACCAGCTCTGTATGGAAGTTGCTTTAAATTTCATTTCCACAGCCATGAAAATTATTTAAAGTTGACAGCCTATTTCTAGTATTGAAACCTCTATGCATTTCAATCTCTCTGAAATTCAAAGTCTATTCCTCAGTAGGTCAGTAAGTCCATCTTTTGCTTAGTTTCAGCTTCATAATGGGGCATTCTTTCTTTCTTCTCATGTCATGTAGAAAAAGTAGGCTTCTTCATTTTTCTTAGTATTCCCAGTACCTGGCATGTTATAGGGAAATTAGTAGTTATCTACTGACATAGGACTCTGAATGTGTCCAGTCTTGTCTGACTTTGTAAGCCAAGGGCCAGGTCTGGTTAGTACTTGGGTAGGAGAAATAAGTAATTCTTTTCAGTAAATGAATGCATTTAAATATGTGAGAAGAAATGAATGAACACAGCAAGAAGTTTCATTGAAAATACTTGTGTTTAGATAAAGGATGTTTTAAAAATCTAAGCATTTAACATAGAAGGACAGTTTTTCCTTTATACAAGTGGCTTGGTTTTCTGTGTGGTTGCTGTGTTCTTTGTCCTTCAGTTTGTTGTACACAGTGGCATCTTAGAAGTAATTGTGTTTCATATGGATCCATTGCAGTCCCTCTCAGCATTTTGACTTCACATTGGAACTTTGTGCCTCAAAACTTACCTATCTGTATATATGTTCACAAGATGCTTGTCTTTTCTCTGTGGTGGTACAAAATTCTGGCTGCAGTAAGGGTTTAGCATATAATTTTAAAACAATTAAGTCTAAATTACTTCTTCTTCTTCTTTTTTTTTTTTTTGGTTTTTCGAGACAGGGTTTCTCTGTGTAGTCCTGCTGTCCTGGAACTCACTCTGTAGACCAGGCTGGCCTCGAACTCAGAAAATCGGCCTGCTTCTGCCTCCCAAGTGCTGGGATTAAAGGTGTGCTCAACCACAGCCTGAAGTTTGAATTATTTCTACAGAGAACACATATACACACACATCATAATTTTTTTGTCTTAAATAATTTTTATTATGCCTATTTCTACCCTTTTTAATGTTTTTTCTTAAATATATATGTATATTTAGATAGAAAATCTTCAGGAACAACTAAGAGATAAAGAGAAGCAGATGAGCAGCTTGAAAGAACGAGTCAAATCTCTCCAGGCGGATACCACTAACACGGACACAGCGCTGACAACTCTGGAGGAGGCTCTTGCAGATAAAGTAAGTGACTGGCCTGACTCTTCCCAGACTTTGTGTTCTCCTTTCTCATTATCCTAAAATTGACTATAAACACAGAGGAAATCCTTTCATAGAAGCTTCTTTGCTGCTGATGTGTATACAGTGAAAAGACAGTCTAATTACTCTTAGATGTTAGCACTTCTAGGCAAGATTGGTTGTACACTAAAAGACCATAGCCACATTTCCTAAAGAACCAGCATGTGTTCCCCGCTTTTATGCTTTCTAAAGGAAATGAAAATTCATTATTTGATTAGCTAGATGTGCAGGATATTTGATATTGATCATCAGGATGTTATCCCAGACTAGCTCTCCTCTGTTACCTTCCCACCACATGACATATTCATAGATTTTATTTCTGAATATTACAACCTTACTAATTTTCTAGTCTTGGCTTACTCCTAAAATAATTTTTAATTTTTGCTTGTTACTGTGTCTGAGCATCACATGTGTGCTTTATGTCCCCAAAGGCCAGAGAGGGATCTCCTGGATTGGAGTTATAGACGGTTGTGAGCTGCCGGGTGGGAACTGGGAATTGAACCTGAGTCCTCTGGAAGAGCAGCAAGCTCTTAACCACTGAGCCATCTCTCTAGCCCCTTGACTTATGTTACTTTGCTTTACCTTTATGAGCATACTTGACTTTTTAAGGAACGGTTGGATGAAAAAGTGGTGAGAACATATTTTAGAGAATCTCTTTATGGTGTTTTTGTTTGTTCTTATTGCTCTTTTTGGAGGGGGTATTGTTTTGTGATGAGGTCTCATGTGGCTTAGGCTAGCCTCAGGCTTGCTGTGTAGCTCAGTCAGGGTTCTGTAGAGGAACAAATGATAGAATAAATCTATCATTCATCTTGTCTGTCTGTCTGTCTGTCTGCCTGTCTCTATCTATCTATCTATCTATCTATCTATCTATCTATCTATCTATCATCCATCTATATAATGAGGTTTTATTAGAATGGCTTACAGGCTGTGGTCCAGCTAGTTCAACAATGAGGGTCTACCAATGGAAGGTCCAAGAATCCTGTAGTTGTCGGTCCATAATGCTGGATGTTTCACCTGGTCTTCAGTATATGCCAGATTCCTGAAGAAGAAATGGACTGGCTAGTGAGAATGAGAACAAGTAGGAAAAGAGAGCTAGATGTGCCCAGCCATTTGGGTTTTAGTTAATTCCAGATATAGTCAAGTTGGCAACTAAGACTAGCCATTACACTCGGGGCAGTCTTTAACTCTTGATCCTCCTATCTCCAAGTCCCAAGTGTTGGGATTAAAAGGTTATCTCATGATGCTGTACTTCCTTTGAGATATTTAATTGGATTCTTTTTAGAGGCATAAAGCAACATTTGTTAGGTCTTTTGGACTTAGAATGCTTGCTAGAATGAATGTATGTTCCCTGAGTATGTTTAGAAACATTACCCAGAAATATACTTAAATTGCTTTAGCCTTCACACTTCCTGAGCACCCAAGCAGAAGTTTTAATTTTTCTGTCACTTCTCTGTCCTCTTATGTAAGATCAGTGTATCACAGCTCCTCCTGCTTTTGATATATGAGTTACGAGTAATGCCTATTGTTTTGTAGGTAGTCTGTGTCAGTATTATTATTATAGTGAAGAAATATGTGTTACTTATTGTCCTACGGACATACAAATAAATTTCTAGTTACTTGGAAATTGAATTTTAATGGGAATATTTCAAGAGAATGTGTTAGTGGTATCTAATGATATTTAAAATGATTAGAAACCGACTCTTGGTATTTAAAAATAAACAGAGTTGGAAATTACTGGTTGTAATAGGAAAAATGAGTTCTTTGAAAACTCAATTCTCGAAGTGCTTACCATTGTCTTTTTAATAGATGATAGAAGTGTTGAGTTTGTCAAAAGAAGCAGAGTATGTTATACAATATAAATACAAATGGAAGTATCCTCATGTCTTGCTGTACTTTCTTTTTAGGAGCGGACAATTGAACGCTTAAAGGAGCAGCGGGACAGAGATGAGCGAGAGAAGCAAGAGGAGATTGATACCTACAAAAAAGATCTTAAAGACTTGAAAGAAAAAGTCAGCCTATTGCAAGGAGACCTCTCAGAGAAGGAGGTTAGGATTACCCAATTAGTCGTTGCATTGTGTTTATCTGTTGCCGTCTGCACAGTGCAGACAAGCAAGAAAGATTTTCTTAGTATCCTGTGGCAGGCGTTTCACATGCTCAGGAAGCTGTGAGGGCCACAGAAGACTGGCTCATTTATTTCCTACTCCTTTACTACCTTGTTCTGTGTGCTAAGAGTTGGTTTCTTATGGACTCCTTATGCTTATGCAGATCCGAGGCTGGCTAAAGCCCAGTTACATTTGGAGAAACACTGCTAATAGTAAGAAAGGTGGCACAAGAGAAGCAAATCTAACCAGAACCACTATTAGAAACATAATAGCCTATAACTTGGTTCACTTCATGAGTTTTGTTCTTGTTTTTGAATAATCCTGTTAATATCACTTAAGTAGCTACAAAGCTGAATGTTATGTAATAACTAATTCAGTAGGTCTGTCTAATAACTGTAGGAAAGTTTATAAGTAAGTTTATAAGTAAGTTTCTACAAGAATTTCCTGCTAAGAGAGGGGAAACATGTTCAAATCTGTGTAGTTTCTAAGTTTGACTACTTATATTTCTAAAGCTCTGTGTCCTTTTATCTTGTGAGAATAAGTACAGAGGGTTAGACTTCTTGTTCTGTTTTTGAGATGAGGCCTCCTGTAATTCAGGCTAGCCTTCAACTTCTGATCCTCCTGCCTCTACCTCCTGAGTTCTGCAGTTATGGGTGTGTTCTGGGCCTGGTTTATGTGTTCCTGGAGATTGAACCTAGGACTTGATGCATGCCAGGCTAACTCTTTCCCGAGTTTCATTCCTAGTCATTTTTAGAACCCTGTATGGTATTGTTCAGTTAGTACTGAGGAACAACCTGATTTTAATTAATGTCTGAAAATTTTATAGTTCATGGATACTCTTGAAATGGAGACTTCCAAATACTATGAATATAAGTTAAAAAAAAGTTAAATCCACATTTTATTTCGCAGTATTTATTCTAAATATGTCTTGCTTCTTTTAGACTTCTCTCTTGGATCTCAAAGAGCATGCTTCTTCCCTGGCTTCCTCAGGACTAAAAAAGGACTCACGGCTCAAGACCCTAGAAATTGCTCTCGAGCAGAAAAAGGAAGAGTGCCTAAAAATGGAGTCACAATTGAAAAAGGTTGAAGAAAAAGTTCCCAATATTACTCTTCTTTTCATAAGAACACTGTAGATAGCTCTGAGCGCCTTTTTTTTCTTTTTCTTATTCTTTTTTTAAAGTTAAGGATTTACAGTGACAATACAGAATTTATAGTTATTTTTTATTGTTTCAAGATAGGTTTGGGCTTATGGTTGTGATGAAATACCCAAGATAAACAGTACTAAAGTAGGAAAAGATTTATTTAGAATTATAGTTTGAGAGATTACAGTTTATGGTTAGATGATTCCAATGTGTTTAGTTTAGTGAGGCAGAGCATCCTTGCCACCAGGAAGGCAGATAGGAGTGAGGACAAAGTGTTTATTTCAGATCATGTCCCCAGTGATCTACTTCCTCTACTGAGATCCTACCTCTTAGTCTGACTTCTCAGCAGTGCCATCACATTGTGGTTTGGGGATTAACTCACAGGTTTACCCAGAACCTCCTGATGTACTGACTCGTTTCTCAGTCACCCCAGTAATGAACACTGGTAAATCAAGCCTTCAGCACATGGAAGAGAAAGACTTTCATCTCTGGGAAGTGGCTTCTAGAAGGTTCCTGCAGACTGCTCTTTGCTTATCCAGGGCTGTTTCTCTGTAGCCGCCCGCGGCCACGAGTCGAACGGGTTCACCTGAAAAGAGGGCTGGGAACGAAAAGGAGGACAGAGGTCGAGAAAAGATGAAGCCAAGACAAAGTTCTCTGATCAAGGCTCGATGTTTTAATGGTCAGCTCTCAATTTAAAGGGAAAAACCCCCGCCCTGACCCTTCCTAGTTTAAGATGGGTGGGATAATCCGTTCTCAGTTGTGGGTCACAGCAGGAGATGTCTCAAGGCAAGCCCAGGGGCAGTTCTTCTTTCAAGTTCCTTGGCAGCCAAATGTTGGGTAGCTCCACCTAGGTCCTTATCACTTGGTCTGTTGTGATAAACAAGGTCTCTCAGGCCTGCTCAAGGCCAGGGAAGGGCACATTTCTCTTTTCCTTTGTTCTTACTATGCTGTAGCTTTCAAGCACCCCAATCTAGCCTAGAATTTTGATAGTGCATTAACATCCTGGCTTGTTACTACAATCATTTTTGAAGTCTGTGCTATTTTAACAGTTCTGTAATACATCTTGTACTTGATTACTGCCTCCTTCTCTCTTGTTTTCATCTTTTACCTGGCTTGTTTTTGTACCTTTGCCTCTGTCTTCTGAGTGTTTACAAGTGTGTGCTCCATGTCTGAGGTTTACATCTTGAATTAAATATTCTACTTTATTTGCAAAGTTATCTAATTAATTCACTTATCTTAAGACATATTCTCACTATATAACACTAGCTGTCCTGCAGCTTGCTGTGTAGACCAGGCTGGATTGGAACTCACAAAGTTCCATCTACCTCCATCTTTCAAGTGCTGGAATGTATGCTACCATGGTCAGTTTTAAAATTGTTTTAAATCAATGTTTCTAACTTCGACTTGGTAAATCTCTCTTTTTGAGTTTATGTGTGTGTGTAAAAGTTGCAAAGGTCTTTAATGTGATTTAATATTCTTGTAATTCCATTTTAAAGTATAAATGAACTCAGCAGAGTTTAGATATAAAAGTCTGATACAGAATTTGCCATGATATTAAGAGACAGCTAATGGTTCCTTCCTGTAGCTGCTGTTTCCTTCTTTTCCTCCTCCTCTTCCTCTTCTCCTCTCCCTTCTTCTCTTCTTCTTCCTCCTCTTCTCCCTTCCTCCTCCTCTTCTTTCTTCTTTTTGGGTGATTTTCTATACAGGGGTTTCTCTGTGAAGCCTTAGCTGTCCTAGAACTCACTCTGTGGACCAGGCTGGCCTCAAACTCACAGAGATCCATCTGCTTCTGCCTCTTGAGCGCTAGGATGTACCACCACTGCCCAGAAGACTGATCTTATTCTTAATGTCTATTTCTTGTGGATTGTTGGCTCCTGAGTTATATTTAACCTTGCACTTCTGTTTAGTTACTGGTCATTCCTCTCCTCTTCCCCAGTCATTCTTCTTTTTCTCCTATTCATTCCTATGGACTATATTATTTTTATTTTACCTTAAAGGTATCTTTTGAAGATTTATTATTAGGGCTGGAGGAATGGCTCAGCAGCATGTATTGCTCTTTCAGAGGACAGGTTTGATTTCCAACACCCACCTCAAGCAGCATCCAGCTGTTTGTAATTCCAGTTGCAGGGGATCCAATGCCTCTGGCCTCCATGGGCACCTACATTCACATGCACAAACAGACACACATATATATGATTAAAGACTTTTAGACAAGCTTTATTATTATTAATGTGCATGTGGATGTGGGTGCTTACAGAGTTCAGAAGGTACATATTGGATTCCCTGGAGCTCTCGTTATAGGCAGTTGACCCAACTGACATGAGTACTGGAAACTGAATTATGGACCTTTGGAAGAACAACAAGAGCTTTTAACTAACTATTGAGTCATCTTACATGCTTCTTGTCTGTTTTAAATCAAATAGAAATTACCTTGAGTGTCATCTTATATGCAACTTCTCTGTTTTAAATAGAAATTATCTTCGGTGCATTCTACAGACTCATTTGTTAAGTGAGTGAGTTTCTGTCCTATGTCAGTTAAAGACTGGGCAAGGAGGATGTAGTGATGGACAATATAGAACTGCCCATTGTCTTCAGAGAACTAATAGTCTTTGTTAGGGAAAATAGACACATAGCCAGCAAAGTTGAGTAAGTCACATGGTCTAGGGTGCAGAGGAGCTCTCCATTGGATTGACACTTAACTATCAAAGTTAGGATACTATATCATGTATGGACCCCAGGACACTGGTATTTATATTTTCATATTTATAGTACAAATAATAGCCATAGTTAATCAAATTTACCTCAGTGGCATTGATTAGAAGCTGTTGTTGTTATTTGTTTGTCTTTTGTGATCCCTCCCCCCAAACCTCTTTGTTTCCTATTTCCTGTTCATTAGCATTCCAGTCTATAGATGAAGGGAACAAAAGGGAAGAGAGAACAGGCTGAGAGTAAAGAGGAATTTCACAAAGATAATATAACCTCAATAAAGTCATAGTGACATTTATCCGTGTGTGTGTGTGTGTGTGTGTGTGTGTGTGTGTGTGTTTGTGTGTGTGTGTGTGTGTGTATTTGTGTGCGTGTAGTGGGGATGCTTTTATTCATTGCTACTTTTGTTTGCGTCCTCAGTTTCTCTTTTTCTTCCTCTTGATATATAAATATAATGGACAGTCTGTGAAATAGGTCCTGTCCTCTTCCTTGTTGTTAGACACTATATTAAAGAGTCCCTGTAGCTTTCTCCTGTCCATGAGAGAATGATCAACAAAGGAACTTCCCTCCTTCTTTAACTACAAAATTAACAAAACGATGTGTAACAAACTAATTTTGGTAGGCTGGAGACAGTAATCTCTGTTTACTCCCCAAACTTGCATAGTTGTCTCTGATTACATTAAAGGATAGATGGTAAGCATTGAAGAGAGTAAATTTTCCCCCACTGGGAATGGAACCTTGAATGGACTTGATGAAGCATTCACTCTCAGAAATGTAAATAATACTTCTATGACTTAATTTACACAAATTTTCCTCATATTTTTTCTAAATTGTTTTCTGAAGAATTTATATACCTCTTTAATATTGTTGAAATATTTAAAGAGATATACTTTTTTGCTTACTCAATAAGAAAAATGAATGTTTTAGTCTTTATGTTCTCATCCAGTACCTTCACCATACACATGTGGCTTTAGACGTTTGTGAGAAGGAAGATTCAGGTTGCTTCGAGACATTTGAAACTTGGTCCTCAGTTAGTGGTACTGTTTTAGCAGGTACAGAAGCTTTTAAGGTGAGGTCTAGATGGCAGAAGTAGATCACTAACCCCCCTTAAAGTTTAGCAGGTTATCCTTGTAACTGAGCTCTCTGCTTCCTATCCGTCCCCAGCATGTACCAGGGCATGCTGAGTCCTCTCAGCTCACACTGCCATGACTGGAGCCCCAGTGCTGGTTTTTCCACATGATAAACTTTACCTTTAACCACCAGCCAAAACAATCTGTCTTCCCTTGTTTCTTTTTTTCAGGTATTCTGTTATAGTAATAAGAAAATTACAAGTAATCACTTGGAAATTAATTTTAAATTCAGGAATTTTTGGTATGCTCTAAAATATATTGACATTATTGACTACCTTTTACAACAGAACCCTGAATAATATCTTTTCTTAGTTCTTAGAGTGGGTCTTGCTTTTTACCTTCTGATAGTCAGTCCCAGGTTTCTTGTAAAATTCTGAACTTTTTGTTGTCCTGGAACTCACTGTGTACAGTAGACTGACCTTGAACTCACAGAGATTCACCTGTCTCCGCCTCCAAGTGCTGGGATTAAAAGTGTGAGCCCAGCCAAGAGTTCTGTTATCTTTACCTAGCTCCATTTTCCCAGTGTCAGTTATATCTGTATGATTCTGAACACTGTAGACCATATGACTTATACATTTGGTAAGCTACATAAGGAGAAGGAAATGCAGTTAGGGCCTAAGGGACTAAGTCTCATCATTGATGTAACAGGAATGAGATGAGGATTTATAGGAATGGGATCAGGATTTAGAGCCTTCCAATGTCTTCCTCATTAGTGTCATTCTAAAGCATCAGTTGGGTTATGATGATTTTTTTTTGCCTCATAATAAATATTCCAAGATAAAATAGCATTTTAAAACTAATCCATTTGTAAACTAAAGTAATTCCTCTCCCTTTATTACTAACATTTTTACCATGTGATCTGTAAGCAAACTGAAGATTAGCCATTTAAATAGTTGATAACACTATTTGATTGAAATATAAATAGTTCTCTGGGTGTGGGTTACTTAATTCCAATATACTGACTTTGAAAACTTTGTTTTTGGGTAGGCACATGAGGCAACATTGGAAGCCAGAGCCAGTCCAGAGATGAGTGACCGAATACAGCAATTGGAGAGAGAGATTGCCAGGTATAAAGATGAATCCAGCAAGGCCCAAACAGAAGTTGACCGTCTCTTAGAAATCTTGAAAGAGGTGGAAAATGAGAAGAATGACAAAGATAAGAAGATAGCTGAGTTGGAAAGGTAAGAAAAGGGGGCTAAGTGGTGCTTGCTGCAGCAGGAAAATTCAAGCATGTTTGACAACTTTTGAGGCAATGTTTCCAATAGTATGTACAGTTGAACTAGGTAATTCCTTGCTTTTTCTACTATATTATCTATTTATTCTTCTAAGTCAGTGTAAAGTCTTTGCTACAGTCCCTAAAGGATGATAAGGAGTAGGGATAAACTACTACCTGAACATCATTGACAAGAGAAGATGTTCATTCATGAAAGGCCGTGTTTTCTTAGCTATATTCCAGAGAGTCCAAAGGGGTTCTTGGTTTTATTATTGCTTTGTGTAATGAGTTATTGGTTCTCAAGCTTAAAAAGTTGTTCAGCTCATAATCTTTTGGGCTGTGAATTTTTAGAATGCATAATTTAGAGCATGGGAAAGCAAATCATATCAGCTTTAAATTAAAAGGGAGATTATGACACTAATGTAAGAGACTCATTGGTGAGTCTTACCAGGTTTTATATTTGAATTCGTCACAGTGAGTTTTATTTGAACAGATCCTGCCAGAGATAGCTCTCTTGGAATATTTTCTATCTTTTATATTGAAGATTAAGCATATAGTCTTATTACCTTTTCTATGGTCTACTTAACATCATCTCACAAAGACACAGAAACACCTTTTCCAGGAGAACTTCATAGTCACCATATTCTTCTAGACACCTGCAAGTCACTAATTCATATAGATTTTGAAAAGTGATGTTTTAGGAATAATTCATTTTCTTAAAAGCTAGAAAGTTTCGACAGCATCTTCAAACTATTTACTAAAGTTTAAGTTTTGGGAGTTGGAAGTAAGCTTGATATTTTCCTTTCGAGTTACTATTTCTTCTATTCCACATCTGTAGACTTTGATTCCTTCAGTGAACCAAAAATGCAAATATAGGATTTCTCATTCCTGACTATACATTTTGGGTTGATATTAACTACATATTCTATAGTTCTTGATGATTTATTTATTTTTATGTGTACCAGTGTTTGGTCTTCATGTATTTATGTGTACTGGTGCCATTGGAGGTCAAAAGAGGTGGTTGGATCCACTGGAGCAGGAGTTAGAAATGATTGTTAGCCACCATGTAGAGTCCAGGAATCCAACCTGGGTCTTCTGGGAGAGGAGCTATTGCTTTTATCCACCGAGCCTTAGCTCTAGCAGCTTTGATAAAATTCTTTTAATCAATATTCTAAGAATATAGATTGTGTGCCTTTTCGCTCATGTTGATCTTTGCACATCTCCCCTTCCACAGCATGTTTGTGTATACGTACTTACTTACATACTTTTTGAGGAGCCTGACATCATTAGTACTTCATTTGTATTAACGTGTGATAATTTTGAAGAATGTTATCCTACTATTTCAACAAAGAAATTTCTGGATAGTATCCCTTTCTTGTTTGATTTGTAAAATTGAAATACCTTCATTTGAAGTAATTACTTTCTGTTGTATGCAGCTAGCTTTAAAAATGATTCATTTTTTAGCTTAATACTGTTTTTATTTTTTATCTTTTTATTTTGTTTTTGCAAGATGGACATGTTACAAAGGAGAATAAGAAGTAGGGCTAAGTTAAATACAAAAGATTGAAAACTAGGAACACCATGTTAGAGGGAATGTGTGATGTGTTTGTCTGTACTCAGTAGTTTTCCAGTCCCATTCATATCTCTGCATTTCATGATTTCCCTTTTCTTTACAGCCGAGTAATATTCTATTGTATGTATCTACCACATTTTCCTTGCCCATCAATCAGCTGATGGGTATCTAGGTTAATTTCATTTCCTCGCTATTGGGAATATAGCTGCAGTGAGCAAGGGTGTATAAGTATCTTTATAGGAGGTTGTGAAGTCCTAGGAGTGGGATGGATGGGTCTCAGGGTAGTTTTAAATGATCTGCTTCTTCAGGAATTTATTTATTTATTTATTTATTTATTTATTTTAAAGATTTATTTATTATTTATGAATACACTGTAGCTGTCTTCAGACACACCAGAAGAGGGCATCAGATCTCATTACAGATGGTTGTGAGCCACCATGTGGTTGCTGGGATTTGAACTCAGGACCTCTGGAAGTGCAGTCAGTGCTCTTAACCACTGAACCATCTCTCCAGCCCTATTTATTTATTTTTTGGTTTGGTTTTTCGAGACAGGGTTTCTCTGTGTAGCCCTGGCTGTCCTGGAACTCACTCTGTAGACCAGGCTAGCCTTGAACTCTCGAACTCAGAAATCCGCCTGCCTCTGCCTCCCAAGTGCTGGGATTAAAGGCGTGCGCCACCACCGCCCGGCTAGTCAGAACACTTATTTGAAGGCTTCTCATTTCAATGAGATTTGTCCATCTGCTTAAATTTAACCATGTATCTTGAGCAGAAGTGGCTTTGTTCTGTATCACAGTTTGCTGAAAAACTAAGGTAGATTTTCATTTCCTTTCATTTTTGAATCCCATTTTTATAAGCTGAGCAGGGCTTGTTTTTTTGAGTTGGTCCATGCACTCATAGCTGGGGTTATTTCATAGTTTTTGTTCCCAGATTTAGTGCTGGAGTGTGTGTCTGGCTGTTGTTTCTGACTGAAGTTTGCTTCTTGTGTTGCCCTTCTACTGTTTCCCATATGTTTTTCTTTGTTTTGTTTTATCCTGCTCTTGTTCTTCTAGGATTTATGTATCTTAATGTTGTATTGTACATGTTCTCTCTGTATCATGACAATTCTCAGAAAGCCAGTCTCTCACAGATAATACTGCCATCCCCAGGTTTCTGTGTCTGCACCGTTGTGGGAGTTGGTGACCACACTTGGTAAAGTGTGTGTATGTAAGGCTCGGTCTTCTTATAAATTGTTGCTCCTGTTGCTGGAGTAAGCCAGTTGGAGTTGGCTTGGGACTTTACTTGATCAGCAGTACAGCTATCCGTTTGAGTTATACCTCAATGTACTCTCTGCTTTAAATAAAATCAGCCTGTGCTATCTCCTGGTAGGTTCTATATGCTAGCTTTATCACTTTAGTCTTTTTTCTCTTTCTTTTGCTCAAGAATCTTCGAGGTTGGTGTTACTCTGCTGGAACACTTGTATTTGGAGACACGATCTCATGCAGTCCAAATTGGTCATAAACTTGCTGTGTAGCTATGGATGTCTGATACTTCTGCCTTGATTATGTGTTGGGAGTACAGTTGTATATGCCATTCCTGATTTATGTAGTGCTAGAAACTGATCCTGGGGCTTTGTGTATATTAAAAAAAAATCAGTCTACTATTTAAGCTGCATACTCAATCTGGGAGACTCTTTTGGTAGCCCCTGGTAGAACTTCGATTCCATCTTGTACTTCAGCATGTAACATTTACTTCTAGAAAGTATTCAACAATGGTTAAGTACAAAAAGAAAAACTAATGAAACTTAAACAAAAGACAATTCTTTGATTTTCATATTACTTCTTTACCATTAAAAAGTTATCAGGATTAATCTTTGTGGATGAAGAATTCCTTTTTCAAGTTGGTTCCTAAGAAAATTACAGTGTTTGTTAGAAAGTGTATTGATGGTATTCTTTAGATTTAGTGTAGTGAAACTCTTTCACCAACTACAGTTCCAAAAAGAGTGTGAGTCAAGCCCATTCATCCGTCCATCATGAGTAGAGATATTTTTTTCTAGTTGAAACTAATCACTTATGAGTTCACTTTCAATAAGAGAAATAAATCTAGTTGGGGAAGGGTTCATAGGAACAGGAAGGGAAGATTTTTTTTTTTTTAAAAGACATTGTTTTACATGTTTGGGATGATTTTAGAGGCTGGATAAGCAAGTCTGAAATCTAGTTCCAGGAATGGAGGTTTATAATCCGGGTGGCATTTGTGTAGGCACAAGCCAAAGTAGGGCTCCTTTGTCGCTCCTGTAACCTCAGCCCTAGTTCCAAGACCTAAATAATTCATTTGTGTTCACTCAGGTTATCTTGGGTAATATCCCCTAGTAAAGTGACTAGAGGAGTGTGTGTGTGTGTATACATATGTCATGCATAGTTACACCCATGTGTGCCAGAGTTCTATGTCAGGTGTTTTCCTCAATCACTTCACTTTATTTTATGTGACAGAGTATCTCATTGAATCTGAAGCTCACTGATCAGTACTCAGGTCCTCATGTTTGTATAGCAAGCACTGACTCGCTGTGGCCTTGGTGAGTTAATCACCATCCAGTGGCTATGAAGCGTTGCTTTCTGTTGCTGTGATAAAACACCCATCCAAACCAGCTTGGTGAGGAAAGTGTTTATTTGGCTTCCTCTTCCACCTCATAGTTCATCATTGAGGGAAGCCATGGCAGGAAGTCAAGCAGGAACCTGGAGGCAGAAACTGAAGTAGAGCTAAATCATGGAAGAACACTGCTTTCTGGCTTGCTCTCAGGTGGCTCAGTTTTCATTCTTACACAGTCCAGACCACCTGCTTGGAGGTGGCACTGGCCACCATTGGCTGAGTTTTCTCCTGTCAATCATTAATCAAGAAAATGCTCTACAAACATGTCTATAGGCTAAGCTGGTAGAAGTAATTCTTCAATCTAGATTCCCTCTTCCCAGGCAATTCTATTTTGTGTCACATTTGGAAAAAAAACCAATCGGCATACCTCTGGAAACAGAATACTGTAACTAAAAATGTGTCTTCTAGCATGTTAGTTTCCATATAGATCTATAAATAGTAGACTTGTCTATGGCTTTTTATGCCAGCTCACATCCAGTATCTCTCCTGGTCATTGTCTTGGTCCTACTCTTTCCCTACTCCTTCCACTCCATGGTCTCCCCAAGTCCTAGCACTGGCTCTGCTCTCCAGCTCTGCCCACCTAAGGCTGTGAAAGCCAATCCAACCTTGTCTGTTACGGAATATGACTTGAAAGTTGCTGAAATGTCTTGTCCAACAAGTGTCCTATTCACCCTACACCTGCGTGGTTTGCCCAGAAGGCCATTTTGAGGTTATGGACAACTAACTTATTAGGATTTTGCTTCCTAGATCTTTTGTCTCTGACTAGAGAGAAA